ACACACATACATACAAACAAAAGAAAGAATCTCGCTCTCCGACGGTCAAAGAAATTGCTGAAATTCCAACTCGGTTAAGGTTATACTTATACTTTAAAAAATCAATCCATAACCATGACACTTGACAGGTTTCCCAATTTAATTAGTGTTGAGCATGTTATCCACTTTCAACGCAAGTTTATTACGAAAAGTTAAATACAAAATCAGTCACGAGTCACGTTTCCATGTGCAACCATTGCATAACGGAATCAGTTAGTGTTTATTGCGATCTTTACACAATTAGGGTAGTTTTATACATGATTGACTGAAGTTTATTATCAGCGCTCCTTTTCCGATATTGTAAAAAAGTTTATATAACAGTTTGTTGAGACCCATTAACGATTTATGTACGCTTAGAAATGAATGAGTACAGCCTACTGTAGTCCATTTTCGATTTCGTCTTAGTAACTTAAATTAAAACTTTAGCCGAGGGTTCTTGCGATCTTTACCAGATACCCGTCATATACTTGATCTGATAAACGACTCTAGCCTATAATCATTTTTTGTGTAAAGCGTTTTTTTATAATAGATCTAGTAAAAGTGGTGGACATCAACGTTAAATACCGTGCTTCAAAAATATCCTTCACGAACAAATTGGGAAACATCGAAACTATCATAATAAGATGGCCTCAATGGAAATCGGAACCTTATGCAACGTAGGAAACAGCTTATTACATAATGGTGACTTTTTCACCTATGGTTTTTATTAGCGTAAGTGTTTAGCCTTGACGTGTATTTCCAATTTCATCCTTTTCCTCCTGCCTTTAAAGTATTTTGAGTATTAAAGTTCTGTGTTCATTGTTTTCTTTTATCTGAGTTTACAACTGACTGATTCTTAATTCTGTTTCCCGCCTACTATACCGCCAGAGATTTGCCATCTACATTCCTGCTCTTATTGTATTAATTAAATAAGGAAGGTTCCAATGGTATTTGGCGAAAGTGTTAAATGAGTCGGGATCAAAGAGGTACAGGGTTTGTAACAAACTACACAGCGTAGATTGCATACATCAAACAAAACCCATTTGGTGTCCTTTTTCCCGAGAAATAATATCTCTTTTATGGCAAGTTGACCGACATGCAGCCTGAGCCAAAAACAGAAATAAAACAAACTTCCCTCTGCAATGTGAGATACTTGGCCCTTTTTAAACTACAAAAAAGGCAATTTGGTTGCTGTTAAACTAGTTTTCCTCTTTTTTGCCTCATCACAATTTTGATTGCTTTGCTAACCGCCAAAAGTTAAATGCGAATCTGTAAAACAAGCAACAGGGTTTATTTTTGCACACTACACCCCGGCACTAAGTCACTAGACCTGTTGGTTAAACATTTTTGGTTGTGCTGAAGTCAATGAACAGTTATGTTTAGAATGATGTTAATAATGATGTCTACTCTCCACTTCTGCCATTTTTTGACGGTGTGACACGAGCAAAACGGTTCGTTAAAGATGTCTTTTCCGTGCTTTACCCCAAAATGAATTTAAATTTGAATTGCAATGTTTATAGGGTCGCCGATGTTTTGAACTTCAAAAGGAGATATCGATCGAAAAATCCACCCACGCAAACTGACACAGTAACGAAATTCAAATAATGACTTTATGGTGGCCTGCCTTTTAATCATCACATGTCAATTCACGCGCACGCGCTCAACGGTCTGGTAAGCGGAGTCATCGCGAAGAGGTCACGCACGCACGTACTGTCACTGATTTGCTTACGACCTGAGACGGGTGATTTCCGAATGCCGCCAAAGTTACCCGTTTTAAATTATGATTTTGAGCATTCCCCTGGCGGAAAATGCTCGTTTGCCAATCTGGTAATAATTGCATAATCTTCAAATATTCATTCGCAAAAAGAAATATGTATCCAACAATATCACGGACCAACTGAAACAAAGAAACGCCAAAAGACAGTAATGTAAGAACTACTTTTTATAAGAGTCGGGCGGATTCCAATAGTCGGTGATTCATGATTGATTTACATTCGTAGAATTTTTTTTCTTAGATATTATCTTGGTAAGGACAAAGATCACATTTGAGGTTCCGCATATTTTGGACGGTCCTGGGAATTTGCGGTGGAAACGATCAAAAATCGCAAAATAAAATGAGGTTTTGAATGCTCGTAGTTCTGTGCGCCCTGAGAGATTTTCATTTGTGCCAATTTCTACTGGGTATGGACTGGCAGCTGACTTAGGGCGCAGCCAGGGGACGCTGCAAATCGCTGCACATGCATTTCATAATTACGAACCATTTTCCAGGAATTATGCGCTATCGCCCTGTGGTGTTTTATGCATGTTATGATAGATTGACACCTCTTACTTTGATTTTAATGAAATGTACGGTGGCCAACTGGGCGCATACCGGGCGCTTTTTGGTACCCAAAGTTCAAATTACCTTGTCGCACGGTGATTTCTCAATTCTCCCTTAGTCAGCAGCCTTAATTTGCATTGAAAGTAAAGTAACAGGTGCCAATCTATCATAACATGCATAAAACACGTACACCTAGGCTGAATTAGGTCGCAAGGTAGCCACACAACGGTACCCCTGGGAAAGTGTGCTTAGTACGAAATTTAGCGATTGCAGCGCCACCTAGGGGCTGTACCCCATGTCAGCGGCAAAACTTTTCACGTTTTATGGAAAGTTCATACCGTATATATAGACTTACACAAATGAAAATCTATTTGGCCCACTTAGACTTAATAGACAATTTATGAGCATTCAAAAGCTCACTCAGGTGATTTTTCGATTTCGGCTTATTTTGACCCTCAGCTAGACTCCTCGCTAGACCACTTAGGCCTATGGCGCTTAACCCTCGGTTCCCCTTGATTTGACAATAATTTAACGCAATCACAACGAAAAATATTCGCACACTGGAACTTTATTGATGGTTCTCAATAAGAAACAAACAAATTCATTTGCGACCATTCTAATCCAAGGGCAAAACATAATAGCACTGATATGGCTTCGCCATACAAATCGTCTCTTTTTTTGCAAGGAGTTCTTTCTTCTTTGACAACCTGCCAGTGATGAGCATCTTATTAGTGAACGGAACATGTATTAATTCGCTAAAGCTAAAGCTCTTCGTAGGTGTCTTCTTAGATCAATGTAAAGATGGATAGCCTCTTCTGGAGTATTAGGGGCCCTGCGTCCAGCGGCTCCCATAAGTAAACAGGCATAGTTGAAGAGGTCCTCATCGCAAGGATAGTTGTCATTGAAGAGACATTCCTCCTTACACACATTCACCCTATCCCGATCCACTAGTTTCAGGTAGTCCATAGTGTTGTACAACTGTGGAAGCTCAAACATCGTAAGGGGTCTGCCATACGCCAAATGCTCTTGTTTGTTCTTCCTAATCCGCTGTCCATCCCAAACCTCCGCCATTTTGTCCAGATCGTCCTGTATTAAAGCACAAGCAAATTTGAATAAACAAGTCAGTTTCCATCGAGCCAAAAAAAATTGAACTCAAAAAAGTATCCGCCCCCCCCCCCAAAAAAGCATCCAGTTTCCGGTTACCGTGCGCGTCTAGACATGAACGAATTATGCGGGTCGGCAAAAATGAAAAAAAAAAAAGTTTTTTATTTGCAAGAAACTGGTTCCCCAATCTCGCCAAACTTGTTTGTGTTAATGGATTTCTCATGCTGCGTATTTAGATGTGGTTTATGAGTAATACTTCGCGAATCCAAAAGCATGGTCACGTCGTCTACCAAAAATAAAAATGTGGGGAAAACCGCCCTGTCCATGCGTCACCTTTGGATCCAACTTGTGACCAGAAACCGGAGATTTTTTGGCCTAAAATACCAATGAGAGAAATGAATTGGATTGACATGGACATCGAGAAAAGGATTGACCAATAATAATCACCCTAAAGGCTATCTAATATCCTCAAACGAAGATAACCGTTATATACACACCTATATATATCATTCTCATAAATGTAAATCGACTCAGCTCTTTGTCTAGAATGTCTCCCAAGAAGTAACCGTCATCCTTGACGCATCGAAGTAAAGTCATCCAGAACTCTGTGCATTCTTTCCTCAATTGACCCCACCAACACTCGATGCGTTGGTTAGCAGTACCCTTCTCAGTAATGAATCTATGCCCCACCAAATCCGTAGGAATCTTTGGAAATTAAGTACATGTCCATTCTCCGTCCCAAGATCAGTCCTGACAACAGTTGGGTAGCCACCATATTTTTAATGGCATTGATGAAAAAACACCGATAAACTCAGGGTCATTCGTAGTGGCATTTGCTTCCAACCAAATGATTGTTCGGGAAAAACCATGTATATATCCACTTATGCCCACTCCATACGGCTGGAGTTTATCATATGATTCTATGTGCCAAATAACATTTGGTCCTCGCCCACAGTATCTGCGATACACAAGCCTTCGTCTTCTGCGCAGTGAAACACCTTGTGGATCAAGACTGTGTAACAATCTCCACACTGTATGTCTGCGTACAACAAAGCCCACCTGAAGTAATCTGCGATGCATAAGCCTGTAACCATGCAGCTGGCCACATTGCTGAGGCTGTTCTCGAAGGAACCTTACAACATCAGCTAAATCAGATTGATTCTTCCGACGATATAGTCCAAGACGCTGCAGGTGTCGTTGTAGGGTGCGCTCACTCAGCGCAACACCATGGACTGTTGATAAAGTTGCAACAGTTTCAAGGTGGGTGTCGCCGAGTCGGAAGTAATTCGTGATGAGGGCGTCGAGGTCCATGATACTTGAAACTTCAAAAGAAATGTACAGCACAACATTAAATTCGTGCAGCACAGTGTAAAACAGTTAAAGACTAATCCGAGGAACACTGAAATTTGTATACACATATGGACTGGCAATGAGGTCAAGGTGGACGTATGCAACCCGAGGGACTGTGGGTGACCAGAAGAGAAGGCCTTGGGAAATAGGACCCTCTTCTGATCACTCACAGGCCCAAGGAGTGCATATACGTCAAGTATTGACCGAATTATGGCAGTCCATATGTGTTTTAGAACACACCTCACTCCAAACAGGCAGCCGTTTCATCACGTTCAGATACACTGCCCAATAAGGACAGCTTTGTTGCCATTGTCTGCACAATACGTGTGCGCACCCATGCGCTCAAGAAAGTACATAGAGATAAGATTTCCGAGAGGTGGTCGAGCGCTTCGGTATCTCAATTGGATGGAGTTCGTGTAATAAGACCCAAAGAGTCGGGCTTCGAATCGTGTCAAAATTACGTATTGTTGTAACTTTTTTACATTCTAATTAATGGCTTAAGAGGATATTTGTATAAAGGGAAATAAAGCCACTTTTTATTTCGTCACAGTTCCACCTTTCTTCTAATTTGTGGCTTTGGATGATTTTTTTAACGGGAAGTAAAGTCCGTGTTTCACCCGGTCTGGTTCCTGTCTTACAAACACATTTGACACCACGAGCGGGGCTAGCGCGGAACCAGACTAAGCAACAAGGCTGTCATTAACGCGCAGTTCAGATACGTCCATCGCCATTTTGAGCTAGCTCTGGATGAATGATAACACTTGGCAACCTGTAGAGGGCGCGCTTTGGATCTTGAACTAGCCGGTGTCGCGTGAAAATCCGACTCCGTGAAATGTGGACTCATTGGTCGTATCGCGCAAGTGCAATTATGCTAATTAGCTGATACGTCAGCGAGTGACGGTTGACGTCAGAGGGATTATCCAATAAGAGGGAAAAGGAGTCCGATTGTCATAGGGGTCGGATTTTCATATGACACCGGTGTTTATACGTACTGGGAGGCCCCACTAACGGCGTCTAATTTTGTTCCTTGGATTAGTCTATTCACCGATCCGAGGAGCAATATCAGAAGCTATTACTGCGGTGGTGTCACGCTCACCCGCATGCTGCGCGTATTCTTAAAGATGAGACGCGCGCGCATTGAGGTATGTAATTAGTAGAGGGAGCATGGAGCACGCGCGTCCCACTTGAACGCGACGCGGCGGATACCGCAATAAGAGCTGGGGACACCTCAGTAATGGCTGCCGCCGGATTTGTCTATATATATGAAATATTTGAATACTAACAATACTTTTAGAATTACGCACATTTCTTTTTAGAAACTTGCATGCTATTGCATAAGGCTAAAAATCGTCTTTTCAGTCGCGGGGAAATCACGTTAACCGACAAAGTCATTAAAAAATCACATAATTATAAACATCCACACAATTTTGTTTGTTATACGCCATAAACTGACCAGTTTGTGTGATATTTTTTATTCAAGTAGCACACAGGTTCTTTTATGATGCTTTACAATCTGAATGTACATACAAAATGTGGTATTAAAAAAAACTAGGGTTAGGAGAAACTTTAAAAAATAAAAGTTTCACCTGCATGCCCAATAATATGCAATGCAAATTTATATATAATTTATAAATTAAAATGGCGCTTTTATTTCGATAACAGTTTACTTTCAACCAAAAGATAAGATGTGTTATAATATAAAATATAAAATTTGGGGGTGGGGATTTCAGGAAATGTGCCTTTAACAAAGTCTCACCAGTGCAAGAAGTGGGGTGGAATCGCTGCTAGATGTAAGGCGAAGTAAAATAATATGTGTTAAGCGTATCCCCGCCTCCTTATTGAAGGCCACCTCCTTTTGGGGGAGGTTGAAAACAAACAGGAAAACTACCTTTTTTCGAAATTGGGACGGATAGATCGCATTTCAGCCCTTAAATAGCTGATGTCACATACTGAGTCCGACTGGGGACCATTTAAAAAAGAAACATTGAAAAACAGCTGCCTTCTTGAAAAATAGGCTTAAAAAAGGACGCTGAACATTTGTTTTTTAAACTTTGCGTAAGAATATTTACAACGCAAAACGTAACTTTCATAATACAAGTAATCAACGTTTTCTACACTACTGCATATTTTGCCCATATTTTGTCGTTGCATAGGGCTACATTGTACTTTGTTGCGTCTAGAGTAAACAATCCTTTTCTTTCTTACAATGGCGTTCATTTCGTTCATCTACAGAACTTTAGAATAGTACAAGTTAACAGTACAAAACATGTTAATTTTAACATTTCGATTATTTCAAGCTTTAATGTCGTCTATGTCATCCTGCCCACCTCAATTTTGGATCGACACCAATTGTGTCAGGCTACTCACCTTTTCCCAATCTAGTTTTTAGTCGCCACGTCTCGTCTACTGCTGATTCTGTCGACTTCCAGGCTTAAAATTGCAAGTAACGTGGAGCCTACTGATCGGCACGTTCAAAATAGCGACACGGATATGGTCTTGCTGTCAATTTTAAGTTTACGGCGATATATCACAACGGTACGGCGATATATCGCCATAAAGTAAAGCGATATAACGCCATTTTACGGCGATATAATGCTATAATAGGGTGATATAACGCCATAGTAGGGCGATATAACACCATAGTACGGCGATATAACGCCGAAAGAAAAAGGGACCGTGTGTAACGCATTGGCAAATACGAGCCACCGTACGTTTTAGCACGTTCTTCAATTTCTGCTTTATTATCATTCAGTTTGGTATCTGCTTTATTGCAGATCTTTTCTTTCATCTCATTAAACGTTTTTCAATTCACTGGTGATTTACACAAAATCTTCGTGACTAATGTCAGCGTCATTGATCGCTTGCGATACATACTCATTGATCGTATTTAACTTTGCGTCACAAAGCATCCGGATCTGTTTGCGTTTTTTGGTTTTTCTGGACAATTTACGACTTGTTTATTTCAAAAGCACAAATGTCCCAAAGGCACCAATGGCGAGACCATCCATAACTAGCTCGATGGGTGCAAAGATAACCCCATTAAAGCAGGGATACCTATTGCGGCTGAATTAGTAGAGGTGTGAGAGTTCAACCCCAGACACCCCTTCACCTCACCCCCAGTTTACCAAGAATACTGAACTACACCACGGCAAAATCGAAACAGTTCAAGACCCCTGACTCGCTTTTTAAAAATTAAAAAAAGCCGTTACTATCTGCACTCTTAAAATAATAGAAAACCGGCTCGGACGTCATAAGACCGACATTCAATTTTGCCAAGCCATAGTTTTAGATTACTTAGAAAAAGGCCGATGAGGTGAAGGCCCGGCCGTCTCTGAAACCTCACACCTCTACCACTACAGTTATGAAGAGGCGCGCCGATCAAAAATTAGATAAATTTCTCAACATTTTTCTAAAAATCAAATGACTCTAACTTTAGTCACTAAATTTGAATACGCCAAATTAGTCTCTGCTCACGCGACATGGTTAATCGTCAACGGCCACGAATTGCAACGAGATTTAATTGAGCAGGCAAAGATAGACGTGCAAAATCAAAGGCATCGCATTTGTTTAGTGAGAAAGACTAAAACCGGTAAACAAGTTTAAAAGCCTAATAAAATTTTTATTCCTGATGATGCGCCGTTTAAAAAAAATTGAGATACAATAGAAATAAAAATTTGAAAAATCATGATAAACCATAAAACAAACGTGAATTGTTATTTTTGCAAAGACACGGGAAATTCAATTGACTTGATTGATTCGTACGACTGCTTGTGCTGTGTAAATTCCGGCCGTTTATTTCAATGCATCGATTGCAAAGAGTGTCAACGATTGTCACAAATGCAACAACTGCACCAAATGTAATAATTGCTCTACTTGTGACGATTGCCGTAGATGTATATATTGCGTATATTGTTTAAATTCCTACGACTGTCAAAATTCAAATGCCTTGGACAGTTGCGAAGACTGCTACTAGTGCAGCAGTTGTATAGTATAGAGTGTTTTGGTTGCACCGCTTGCACCTGTTGCGTAAATTGTGTCGAGTTGGAAGGAATGGATCACGTGGTGCTCGTAAACGGCAAGCATAAAAAGCTGCGACACGCGCCGAAAATGATTCACTACCCGATTCAGCTACAAAACTCGATTCAGATTTATACAAAATTGGGTTAATAATTGAATACGACGTAGACGTTGAAAATTTAATTAAAGTAGAAATCCCACCCGAGTCAATACACGCGGCCGAATAAAAATGGGAAATATCTCTGACAAAAGTTGGGAAAATCAGAACCATGACAACCCAAGCGTATATCATTTCAGACGACTACCGGCGTCTCAATGCAGGCATCTGCAATCCCAATGTCACCTATGGGCCCTTTGACCCGAGTCCTTTAATCATTACAAAACCCGTGATTAAAGAAGGCACTCACGTGAATCAATGCAGCTCACCTATTTTTTATCATCACAACGGCCAAAATAATCATTTTGAGGCAAAATAAATTGCAGCTTCAAATAATTTATCACCGCGGAACATTGGAGGCTCTTCTCACCAAGTGGGTCAGTAGTGTTCACTTGCAGTTGCTGGCACGGTGATTTAATGCCTCGAACTAGTTACTGGCGTGACCTTAAAATGTTAGTAGCACTGGAGAGAGTTACTCCCGGTCACTTTTGCTTGAGCAGCCAGGGCGTTTGGTTGGAAAAGAGAAAATCTGTCTGTTTTGCAAAAGCAATTTTGTTAGTTATGCCCCGTGCCAATTCCAAGCGGCGGGCTCCTTCTGGGCCGACGGATGGAGCGAAGCGTCAAGATGCGTCGGTGGTCGCGGCCCTTGTAGGGTCTAGTGCTCCGCAGCTTGCATCGCCCGGTCCGGATACCACCATTATACCGTTGGCTACGGTCGGAATGATTCCAGATAGTGCGAGTGTTGAGGCTACCCATGCAACGCCAGCGCCCGCCACCATCAGTCGGCGTGGAGGGAGT